TTTTTTCTTTTTTTTTAGGGAGAGAGGGAGTTCATGGGATTTTCACCTTGAGTTTCTGGTGTGTAAGCAATAATCATGAAAGTAAGCAGCAAGTGCAGTGAAAACTGGTTCCTAAAAAGAGAAGAAGAACAAAACAAAACAAAATATCCTGGATTTCATTTCCAAAAATATCTTGTGACTGACCAAATGACTCATCAGTGTTACTTATGTGAAGGCATAAAATGCCTCTTTCACTTCCCCTAAACCGCTAGACTGCTCTTCTCTCTCCTTTTTGAACTGCTTTTAATATTTAAAAATTAGTTTTATTTCTCAAAAGTATGATGAGGGTTGGAGAAAGTGAATATGTAATATTATCTGCCCTAGTAATGTGTTCCTAAAGATGGCCCTGGAGAGAAATTATAACATAAGTAGAATTCACAGGTAATCTACGAAGATGAATCATAATGCAAGATGCACCTAGGCATAGCTAAATACAACAAAAAGAATGCCACAAAGCCAGAGGAGAGAAAAAAATCTGCTAATAAGTACAGCATCCTTGGAAAAAATGAGTGAGCAATAGCTATGCGAAAATACAGGGTCAGACACAGCTTCTGAGGGTGGAAACAGTTTATTATTCAAAGAACATTACTAAAACAAGGACATTTCCTATAAGAGGTGTGCAGTTTAGACATCTGCAACGAACTGTCACTGATTTTACATGTGACAATGATCAAATGCTTAAGACAAAAATGAGACATGGCCTTTTTCGCCCAGGTCCCATGCTCATTGAATAATTCCTACAATTCAATCTGCAACAGTGCTTTCTCACTATTCAACCCTACACTGGTTAAATGCTAGCAGTGAGAAATGAAAATTGGTACCACTTTTAGAATAATCAAGTCCATTTTTCTTACTCTTACATGTGGTATATTTACAAACACATAAGTTGTTTAAACATACTATGTGTACCATTTAGATAGATACCAACCAAACCCCCTGCTGTGGAATCAATTCCAGTTCATAAAGACCATGTAAGACAGGTTGGAACTACCTCATAGAGTTTCTTTATGAAAACAGACTGCCACATATTTACCCCCTAGAGGAGCTGGTGACTTCAAGCCACTGACCTTACAGTTAGCAGTTTTGTGCTACCATGGTTTCTTTCTTAGCTACCCGAGTAGATGCTTACTTACTTAGGTGCTGTTGAGTCCATTCTGACTCATAACAAGCCTATGCACAATAAAACGAAATATTACCCAGTCCTGCGCAATCCTCACATTGTTGCTACCACTGTGTCAATCCGTGTCATTGAGGGGAGTCTTCCTATTTTTTATCAACCCACAAGCATGGTGTCCATCTCCAAGGGCCGATCCCTCCTGATAACATGTCTTAAGTAGGAGAGATGAAGCCTTGCCATGCTATCTTCTAAGGAACATTCTGGCAATACTTCTTCCAATATAGATTTGTTTGTTCTGGCAGTCCATAACATTTTTAATATTCTTCTCCAGCACGTGAATTCACATGCATCAATTCTTTTGTGATTTTCTTTGTTGATTATCCAACTTTCACATGCATATGAGGTGACTGAAAATACCATAGCATTGGTCAGACGTACCATAGTCCTCCAATTGTTATTTTTGCTCTTGTACACCTTTAAGAGGAATAAAACTGAGGATTTCACTTTACTAGATAACACTAAGGTATTAATATCTTTTAAAACAACTTTTTATTGGGCATTGGTTTATAGACAAGTTGTACAGACAAGATCAGTTTTACATTGAATGAATCCTACACTTTGCTTCATCTCAATGATTGTGATCCCCTCCATGCAACAACAGGTGTCCTGTTTCCTCCCTGTGATTACCCATGTACAAATATCCTCTTTCAAATGTTTCTATATTTTTGGGATATATGAATACATGTGTGTATATGTATGTATATATATATGCATACATATGCATGTGTGTATCTTACTCTTCCTCCCATATCTTGTGTCTCTGTCCATGTATCTATACACAGAACATTGTTGTTCCAAGGTTGTGTCTATACCACTATTCACCTCTACCCCAATTAGCCCATGCATACCTCCCTGTGTCGTCACCTAGCTCCATCATTCTTCTGTTAACCTCCTTCTTGCAAATTGCCCTCCTCATCACCCAAGTTAACATGTGTTTTCCTTCCTGCCAGTGAATTGCTCTTCCTCCCCTCTGACCCCTGGTAACCATCAAAGAATGCTTCTTTTAGTATGAAAACTCTTTGTTAAGTTTTTACAAGGATAGTCTCATACAATATTTGTCCTTTTGTGATTGGCTAATTTCACTCAGCATAATGTCCTCCAGGCTATGAATAGTGCTGCAATAAGTGTATATATGTAAATACATCTACTCATGTCCTGGCTCTTATTTCTTGTGGATATATACAAAGTAGAGGGATTACTGGATCATATGGTATTTCTATTTCCAATTTTCTGAGGAAATTCCCTGAAGTATCAATATCTTGATGAAAGCAATGCATTAAAACTGCAGTTTGATAAGGTAGAATACGGTGGCGCCATTTTTCCTGACACTGTTTCAGACAGTGATCTAAGTAGTGCTTTTTGATAGAAAAGAGTCCACATTTAGGGTATCTTGGGAGGAAAATCAAATCAACAAATAGACAGATGGGGGAGGGAGGCTTCCTCTTACTTTAGTTTCAGTCATAGGTTATTAGTTGTTAAGTGCTGTCGAGTTGGTTCCAACTCATAACAACCCTATGTAAAACAGAATGGAGAAATGCCACCCAGTCCTGAGGCATCCATAATTGCTACTATGCTTGAGCCCATTGCTGCTGCCACTGCGTCAATCCATCTCATTAGGGTCCTCCCTTTTTTCTCTGTCACTCCACTTTACCAAGCATGATGTCCTTCTGCAGGGACTGGTCCCTCTTGACAACATATCCAAAGTATGAGAACGGAAGTCTGGTCATCTTGGCCTCTAAGGAGCATTCTGGTTTTACTTCTTCTAACACAGATATTAGTAATTATAAATTATTGAAAAAATGTTTTAATTTATACTTTAATAGCTGTTTTACCCTGAGGCAGTCTCTACACATTTTATATAAGGGTCACAGACTACCTTTATTTTATTTTATGCAAAATTTTATATGCCTGGGATGAAGTTCGTTGTTGCAGCCCATGCAAGTTTAGGTTCATGGCACTTTAATAACCTGATCTTCCTAATCCTTGGTACCACAAAATATGTACTTGATTACTATTGCTGTGATTGTTGTTATCAGAATATAAATAAAATAATAGTAAAAAGTTCTGTGAACTCAAGGGAAGGCTTGACTGAATGATAAGAGAATTAAGAAAGAAAAAAAAAAATCTATCTACCTGTAGTTGGAGTTAGCTAGACTAGATTTGAAATTTGTCATGCTACTTATCTATGTGACCCTGGATAAAATACTTAATCTTTCTTTGTTTCCTTTTCCTAGCATTAAAATGGGAATAATAATTAGTATCTATCTTGAAAGCCTGATGTGAAGTTTAAAGAATATAATGCATATAAAATGCTTAGAATAATGTCTGATGTTACGTAAATGCTCAGTCAGTGTTAGTAGATGCTATCCTACTATTTGGAGTCCTGGTATGGTGCTGTGGGTTAATGCGCTGAACTGCAAGATCCAACTGAACCACAAGGCTGGCGGTTCAAACTCAGCAGTCACTCCTTGGAAAACCTATACAGGGTTGACAGCACTTAACAACAACAACAATCCTATTACTTAAAATGGTAATGCAAATGGTTAAGCATTCAACTACTTGCTGAAAAGTTGGCAGTTCAAACCCACACAGAGGCACCTCAGAAAATAGACTTGGCTATCTCTTACTGCACATCCCATAGTGCAGTAACACAAGGATGTCAGCTCAATGGCAGTTAACAAGAGCAACAGATGAAATAAGGTATTAACTAAAATTAAAGAACTTTTCTTTTTAAGTGTTTAATTTGGCTACATTTGAAATTTTAGAAAAAGTTTAGAAAATTTGGGGGGAAAATTTCAATTTATCACAGGATTTTTTTAATGGTTTTTAGTGAAGATAAATAATTACATAACGGGAAATAAGTAGCAATCACTTTAAAACAGTAATAAAAATTCAAAACACTGAAACTATATTTACAATTTGTTGTTGCTTGCCGTGTAGTTAATTCCAACTCATGATGACCCCATGTGTGCCAAAGAGAACAGCTCCAGAGGCATTTCAAGACTGTGATCTTTCAGAAACAGATCACCAGGTCTGCCTCCCAAGGATGGGTTTGAACTGCCAACCCTTCTACGAATAGACAGCAGTTAACCTTTGCACCACCCAGGGACTCCATAGTTATTATTTGTTGTTGCTAAGTGCCATCGAGTCGGGATCCGACTCACAGCAACCCTGTACAGGGTTCCAAGGAGCAGCTGGTGAGTTGGAACTGCCGTCCTTAACAGCCCAAACCGACGTTACAGTTTATAGCATTAACCGGCAGTGCCATACCAAAAGTCCATTATACATAGCATGAACTATAAAATTAAACCTAAGTTTGCTTTTGTTTATTGCCCTTGATAAACCTATGCAGAAAATATGATACAAACCAATTAAATAAAGCCTTGATTTCAATAATAGTGGAGGTCCTGAC